CGCCGACCTGCGCAAGCTGGCGGTGAACATGGTGCCCTTCCCGCGCCTGCACTTCTTCATGCCGGGCTTCGCGCCGCTCACCAGCCGCGGCAGCCAGCAGTACCGCGCGCTCACCGTGCCCGAGCTCACGCAGCAGATGTTCGACTCCAAGAACATGATGGCCGCCTGCGACCCGCGCCACGGCCGCTACCTCACGGTGGCCGCCATCTTCCGCGGCCGCATGTCCATGAAGGAGGTGGACGAGCAGATGCTCAACGTGCAGAACAAGAACAGCAGCTACTTCGTGGAGTGGATCCCCAACAACGTGAAGACGGCCGTGTGCGACATCCCGCCGCGCGGCCTCAAGATGTCGGCCACCTTCATCGGCAACAGCACGGCCATCCAGGAGCTGTTCAAGCGCATCTCGGAGCAGTTCACCGCCATGTTCCGCCGCAAGGCCTTCCTGCACTGGTACACGGGCGAGGGCATGGACGAGATGGAGTTCACCGAGGCCGAGAGCAACATGAACGACCTGGTGTCGGAGTACCAGCAGTACCAGGACGCCACGGCCGACGAACAGGGGGAGTTCGAGGAGGAGGAGGGCGAGGACGAGGCGTAAGAACTTGTCAAATCAGTCGTGTATCCTTGGTCAACTTCTGTTGCCCCCAAGCATGGTCTTTCTACTTGTATACTATGGTGCTCAGTTTTGCCTCTGTCAGAAATTCACTGTTGACGTAATAATGTGGAACGCCTCTAAAAATTACAGTATTGTCTGTTAAGATATCTATACTAATAAAAAAGCATGTGTATAAAACCTTGTGGTCTCTATTCTCACTAAAGTAGTTTTTATTCTTTCACTTAATACTGCTTAATTATAAAGTTTAATACTAATAGTAATATAGGATTTATGCTTTAGTACCTTTAATTACAAGTATTCCTACACTTTTCGTACAGAAAGATGAAAATACATATTCTTTTTCATCTTTACTGACGCAAAGTATTAAAATCATCCCTCGAAAGTGATCCAGGAGTAAAACAGTGGTTTGAGGATAAAGCAAACCTTCCGTGGTTGTTCAGGTACCCTACGAATCTGTACAATCAACCTTAGGCAAGGATTTTGTTTTTCTACTTCTCTTTGAAGAGTGGGAAAAATACAAATAAAGAAATGAAGCTTGGACCCCTCAGATAAAAGGTACAGTACAAATTCAAGATGTCCTAAAATTGCAGACATCTACAAATATTCCACTTAAAATTTATTTTTAACTAAATTGTGACAGGAATTTAGTTTTTAAAACCAATGGCAGACATCCACAACTAAATGTTAAAAAATCAGATTTAATTTTTGTAGCTATTGAAAATAAAGGCTATTTTCAAGGTGTCATTATTCCTGTTTGATTAAGTCATATTGAAGAGAGGGATAGGAAGCCTGAGAAGGTGGGAGACCTGTTGTGTGACTCAGTGGGGGGTTTCAAAGGCTTCTGAATAACTGGCAGCTACATGATCAAAGCCCAAGTAAAGAGCCACCAAGAATCAAATGTTCTCAGGGACATATTCATTGTAGGAAGTCTTCAGCTAACTTGTTGAATTCACTTGCAAAACGCAAATGCAGGTTGTGTTTGCCTTCTGGCATCAGATGCAACCTAAAAAAAGAGGGGAAAAAAAGCTTTTGATCAATGGTAAGCCACTTAAAAACCACTTACCTTCCCCAACATTTCTTGAAAATCTAAAGTGACAAAAAGCCAGTTTTTCCCCATGACCGCTATCCAGGAGCAAATTTAACAGTGTCAACTTTCCATGAATGTAGACATGAGGGTAAAGCCCCTTGGAGTGTATGACCGCCCAGGTGGTTGGGCGTCAGGCGATCGCTTAACAGTTACAGAGAGATACACATACTGTATTCAAGGTTGAATCAGGTAACAGATAGTTTGACTGAAAAACTGAGCAGGGGAGGTGCTTTGGTAAAATCCATTTTATAAAATCTGTTTAATGAAGTTGATTTTAAGAGAGAAGTTTAAAAAGATGATAAGAAATGTGTAGAACCCACTGGGTTGGAGCAGGTAGTTTTTTGGGGTATACCTATGTAGTGGGAGAGTGCAAATCAGAATTCACAGCCTGCTGTTCAAGGTTCCAAATCACCCTTCCTTTCTGGATTACTGAGTAAGTCTGAATACAAGCCACCAAAGGGCAAAACTCCTCAGGACCATTAGGGTGGGGACCTGCGTCAGCAGCCCTGTGTGCAGGAGCCACAGCTGCGGCTGTCCCAGCTCCACACTGGAGCAAACCTCACTGTCCCTGTAAGGCTTCTGCTTTTCAGTAGAAGTTTGATCAAATGGGACTGGTTTGCAATTTCTTTAACAAAGTCAGCCTTCTCTGAGTTCCATATTTTATTTATTAGCTACAAAAGTAGAGAAATAGTAGAAGTGTTAATGCTTCTAGGATGTAAGCACAAGGTCAAGCCAGTTTGTCTGCAATGACAACTGGACATTAAAAGGACTATATTGGGGCAAAATTACAGTTACTATATTGCCACATTCTCTGACTTTCAACACTGGGGGGGCACTAGGGAGGACTTGGGGCCAAGGGAGCTGTTCTTGGAAAATGCAGGGCCTCTTGCAACTCAGCCACATCAGGGATGGGGGTACCAAGAGAATCAACTTGAAGACATATTGTTGACATCTTTCTGAGGCCCTTGAAAAGTTAATGCTATCAATAATAACTAGAACATTATAAATTCAATGTTAACACATTAACTGTCATGAAAGTTGTTTTTAACTTCTACCAGTTTTGAGCCTGGGGCCTCATGAAGCATATATAACTCACACATCTCTTTACCCATTGACAGTTCTAAAAACAGATTAAATGAATAGAAGTCAATAAATTTTGTTGTTCTATCTGTTTAACTTTAAATTACACTTAAGCCTGAGAAGTCAAGAAAAACACTTTACCCTTATGAACTATTTTTCAAGTTTTCACATTCCTTTTTTTACATTAATTTTCAAGTTTTTATATTACATTTTATTGGTGATATAACAATTTTTTCGTTAAATTAGAAAGGATCATTTTGTTTCTGAAGTTTTTATTCTGTTTTTGTAATAAAACACTGTGGTCCCAGGGAGAATTTCTTTTCCTAGTGTGGCAGTCGACGTGTCAATGCTATTCAGAAAAAGATGAGTTACACCCACCACAAAGGTAGGATTCCAGTTGCATTACACAAGGAACAGTGTTTGCAGGAACACTCAAGCCATGTTTAGGAAACAGAAAAAGAACCAAGTGTCCAGGATGCTGAGCGGTCACAGAAGGATGCATCCTCCAATCTGCACTAAGCTGGGTTGTGAGGCAGGGACTCCCCAGCCTGCTAAACTTGATGTCTTCCTCTGTACATTTCCAATCTGGCTATGATTTGCTAGTTTCTGATAAGGAAGCAAGGTCAGAACACAGCTGTGAATCCTTTCTTTTTAGCCATTCAGTGCTCTCTATACTTATCCAAAAGTAATTTCTAGATTTGGGGGAATAACACCCAAGTTCCCTTCATTAAAATATAGGAGACCTTCTCTGGATGCTGGATGCATGCATGGACAGACAGACGGACAGATAGAGTATGAAGAAAATTGTCATTCTCCCTGACATTTTTGGAGGTCATTTCAAGATCCTTAGTACTCCTTCCTTCTCTATGTCTGACCCAGGATTCACCACACTTAAAATCGAGTGTGTGTTCCTCTTAGGGAACAGGGCCGCAGCAGACAGGCATAAATACCAGCTGTCAAGGCAAGGCAGGAGCTCTGCTGTTGACCTAGATTTTCACCCAAAGAACAAAAGGATTCAATCACATGCTCCATGGAGAGTGGTTTTTGAACAATCACATTTTCCAGGAAAACCAGTAAAAAGCCTCCTCACTGCTAAACACACGGCTCGGCTGGAAATGAACAGGCCTTTAAGAGGTTACAACAAGTTCCCATGTGCGGGGGCAGGTTCCCTGTTGCATTTGGCACCTTTAGAAAAAGAGACCTGACTGCAGATCTCTTGAGGAACTAGAAGCTGTCTAACCCCACTGTGTAAATTCAGTGGTCACTTTTCCTCTGCTGATACGGTCCTTCTGGGTGCAGTTGGCACAGGTGAGATGCTATTCTCAGGTTACTTTTCCTTCCTCACTCAAACCTTTTTTCCAGCTTTAACTGAACAGAACTTTCAGCTGTAACTCCCAGAGCTAATAGTAACAAGGGCATAAGTAATGTGCTGTAGCACGTCTTCACTTCAGATTAGTGTGATGAAACTCTAAATTCTTTCTGAACCCATAGAGTTGCTAGCAACTCTGTGAGCACTTTCATTTTAATCAGAGATAAAAGTAGCCTGCTGGTTCTCTGTACTGGGATTTCTTCCATTACCAAACTGGATGGCAATGCGGCTTGTCACTTTTTCAGTCATTCCTTCTGAGGCCACCAAGACCTGGTTGCCAACAACTGCCCTTTTTCATTCAGAAACTAAATCTTTTCCATTATCATTCTGCTCCTTCTAGAAAACTCCATCTAAGGAAAAGGTAATGGTGGGCAAGCCACATGCTCCTTGCAGCTGGCAAAGCTGGTGGGAGGGAGCAGCTCCCCAGCCAGGGCCCTACCCAACAGGCTCTCCCTCTCCACCCAAGGGACAATCAGGCATTTGAGAATGGGGGATGGGCATCTCTCCAAGAAGCTCCTTTTTTCAAATGCTGCCACATCTCAAGCATTAACCACTTTGGTGCCAGCGTCAACTATAGTTGACAGCCACAGATGAACGCGCACAGCAACTTTAGCCGACAGCCGTGATATGAAGGTGCACAGCCGAACGTAGATTTTAGTCTATAATTTTGAATTGACTTTTCTAATTTTCCATTTACCAAAATAAAATTGTGAACATTTAAAAACAATGTAATGAAAACATATATGTATAGATTACCTATTCTGATTTACATTACAAGTAAAGCTGCCTGTAAAGTAAAAAAAGCTTTCAGTGCTTTAAAGTTTTACTCATCACACAAGAGCAAAACGGATTCATCGTCAATGCACAGCACAGACCGCCGTGCGGGCTGGGAGTGCGGCTGTGGGCGAGGTTTCGTGGCCAGTGAGCGCCGTACCGAAGTGGTTAAGAAAGAAACAAAACTGCATCAGATGCTGCTTTTTCAGTAATGCAACAGCTTGGAGGGGACTGCTTCTGGGCAGTCAGGAGCTACTGGATTCATGCTTTTATTTTTTTAGACATAGTGTCTTGCTCTGTCACCCAGGCTGGAATGCAGTGGCACAATCATAGCTCACTGCAACCTCAAACTCTCAGACTCAAGTGATCCTTCCACCTCAGCCTCCTTAGTAGCTGAGACTACAGGAGTGCACCACCATGCCTAATTAAAAAAAAAATTTTTTTTTTTTTGTAGAGATGAGGTCCACTATGTTACTCAGGCTGGTCTTGAACTCCTGGCCTCAAGTGATCCTCCTGCCTTGGCCTCCCAAAGTGCTGGGATTACAGGTGTGACCCACCACATCTGGCCTGGATTGATACTTTCAAATAGTGTGAGGACAAAGCCTTTGCAAAATTGCTGGGACTGTGCAGACCTAGTTGGGGCCTCGGACTGCAGTGAAAGCTTTCTTGCTGTGGCTGCTGAGTGTAAACTGGAGGTGCCATCACAGGGTGAAAGGCATGGGCTTTACAGAGTTAGGATGAGTCTGGGCCAACGCAGGCTCTGTGCTGCAGGTCATACCATCTCCCTGAGTCACGATTCCACATCTGGAAAATGGGGAGAGTAACAGTATCTACCCCACAGGATTATTCCAAGGATGAAATGAGATCGTACGTATGAAGTACACCGCACAGGGTCTGTGGGCACATTGTAAGCATTTAACAAATGTCATTATTATTCTTTGTATTGCACTGTACAATGTATAAAAACCCTTATAAAGGTTCTAATTATGTACAGCATATTAAAGAAATGCTCTGACTCAAAGGAGCACAGTTTATTTGTATTTGTTGACTAACAATACCTCCAATTGGAAGATTCTTCCTTTAAGAGAGGCTTAACAAAATCTTGTGGGTAAGATTTATCTAAAAAGGGTCCACCTCGCTCTTTCTGAACACAAAAGACTCAACTTTGCAAACGCTGGCTAATTCTGTTTGGAGTTAGTCCTTCAATGTGACCACAAGCAGAGTCTGTAGCTGACAGTTTTCCCTCCCACCCGAGCAGCAAGCAGTTGAGGGTGGGGGCTGTGATGGCAGGGAACAGCTACCTAGCAGTAGGAGAGGGGAGGGGAGGGCAGCCCAATGCCCCCAGGCGCATGTGGTCCAGAGCTGAAGCTGCAGTTGCTGCCCTGCTTGCAGTGCCTACCTGCCCCCAGAAGCTGGCCTCACTTTTCTACAGATCTGGAAACAAACCCTTGTCACTGGTGTGGATCTTTTTCACCTAGGCCAATTTCCCTGCAGCCCAGCTGGTGGTATGGTTTCCACTGGCCTGCCTTGGAGGACGAGGGCCATCTTACCACTGGTGGCCTGACTTGCATTGTCAAGGAAGCTACAGAAAGAGGCCCTTTCCTCCCTTCTATGGTCCAGACAGAGGACAGCAGCTAGATCCCATCCTAGCTCCCAAGTCCCTGTGGCACCCCCTCCAGGCAACCCAGCCCAA